CTATTTCTAAGAGCACAACATGTAACTTATCAACTGGTAATTTCTTAATGTTAATATTTTTCTTTGAGATTCTGTATTACTTCTACCCTTTTTTCTGTTTTGTCTTGTGTTTCTTTCTTTTTTTCTTTCAATAAGAACAGATGGAATAACAAAATGTGGCATTCATACATTACAATGGAATATTATTCAACCTTTAAAAAGCAGATCCTGCCATTTGCCACAGCATGGGGGGACCCACAGGATGTTATGCTAAGTGAAATAAGACAGACACATGATCTCACTTGTAACGTGGAACCTTTTTAAAAAGAAAGAAAAGTGGTAACTATAGAGAGAAGAAAACAGTGAGCACGTTGGATGAAAGGAGGGGATACGACATTGGAGTTGTTGGCCAAAGACACAAAAGTACAAAGTGATTTCAGCTGTCCTTTTCCCTCAGAAAAACTGAGATTTTAGATACATATCTAGATATATCCCATAACATCATGTTGTGAACTTCAAATGGAATCAATATAATTTTTTTGGTTTTTTGAGATGGGTCTTGCTGTGCAGTTCAGGCTGGTCTTGACCTCACTTTGTAGCCCAGGCTGGTCTCAAACTTGCAAGGATCCTCCTGTCTCAGCCTCCCAAGTGCTGGGATTACAGGTGAGTACCACCATGCCCAGCTCAATATCATTTCTTAACTAAAGTTAAATTTTAAAGTTTTTTTTTTTTTAACGATCAAGTCAGACACAGTGGCAACACCTATAGTGCCAGGCTCAGACAGGAGGACTTTTTTTTCTTTCTTTTTTTGTACCGAGAATCAAACTTAGACCTCTGGTTTGCCAGGCAAGTGCTGCACCCCTGAGCTAAAGTCCCGGCCCAGGGAGGAGAATCGTTTGACCTCAGAGTTTAGCGGCAGCCTGAGCAGCAGTAAAACCTTGTCCCAAAATAAAAATTAAAAAAGGCCAAGGATGCTGGGTGTTAAAGGGTCCTTCGGTTTGATTGGGGGTGAAGGGTGCGTTTCTGTTTTCCCATTGAAAGGGAAGATAAACGCCTGGTGGGCATCTGAGACCAAGTAAAGCGGGTTCCTCTCCTCACCGCAGAAGAACGATGCCCCCGAAAGCGGATCCAGAAAGGGACCCTTTTGGTACCGATGGTGGAGCGAGAGAGGGAAGCTGAGAGCTCTGTGCCCAGGGAGGTGTCCTCTGCGGCCAGGCGTTGGCACAGCCTGGGCTCTGCAGGGACCCATGCAGGACCCCCGTAATTAGCGAGTGAAGGCCGGGTGCTCCTCCACGCCGCCAAGCAGAGCGTCCAGAACAGCTCCAAGGCCAGTCCCGGCGGAGGCGTGCAGGCTGGGAGCCCCTGCACCGAAGGCACCGGGGGAGGCGGCCTTGAGGTGCTGCCTAGATGCACAAAGACACAGCTCACCGGTCCCACTGAGCCCTCAGGTTTCACACATGGGCAGGGGAGGAAGGGTTCTGTTTTTAGTCTACCTGGCAAGCGCAGGATGGTTGACTTGCTCTCCCTTTATGTGCAGAAAATATTTGAAACACATATTTTCAAAAAGCACAGAACCTATGAGGTCCTGACACACAATAACCTGAGATTAACTCGTGTGCAAGAAAGAAAAAAGAAAAAAAAAAAAAAAAAAAAAAAAAAAAAAACAAGCAGGGTCGATGTTAAAACTAAATCCACACTGTCTGCCTCCCCAAGCGCTCTGGATACCTGGCGGACAAGGAATGAGGAGAGGAGAGGGGTGTGTGTTATCACTGCCTCCTTAACGCAGTGGAAAACTAGAAAGCTGAGATGGGTCAAATACATGTGTTAGTTATACAGCTTGTAAAAATTAGCAATTAAGAATCATGTGTAGGGACCAGGGGTTTAGCTCAGTGGCATAAGTGCTTGCTTGGCAAACGCAGGGTCATGAGTTCAATACCTGACACAAAAAAAAAAAAAAAAAAAAAAAAACTCATACACAGAAGAAAGTTTAGTATTCTGAGAAAATTTTCTTGGGCTACTGTAATAGTTTTTCAAGTAAGTTATATATATATATGGCATAAATATATAGAACCATGTGTCTATTAATAACAAGGATGCATCATCAGTAATTACATTATTGTGCAAACACCATAGAATATACTTAACCTAACCTAGATAAAACTTGATACATACCTAGACTATGCTAATAATCTAATGGAGCTATGCACTGGGGTCCCCCCTTCACCAGAATGTCATTATGCAGCACAGGACTCTATCCCATATATACAGCGTTGTTAATCTCTGAGCAGCAGAATTATAGATGGCTCGGTTTCTTCTTTACACCAATATACCTTTCCAGGGCCTGGGGATACAGTGCAAGGGTAGAGCACTTGCCTAGCATGCACACAGGCACACACTCTCACACTCACATATACAGGCACATTTGATAAGTATATCAATATATAAAATGTATATATATTCCCCAAATTTCCCACAACAAATATATAATCTTTGTAAAGAGGGGACAAGTGCTATTTTTTCAAAGGCAAACTACTTGTCCGACATTGAATAATATATTTTCCTTATGGAACATTCCCCCATCCCTCTTCTAGCATGCAGAAAGCTCTTCATGTTACCTGGACCTCTTTGAGGGATTGTTACACAAAAACCTAGGAATGTGGATGCAATATTTAGATAAAGAAGGCTTTTCCAAATAAAATGGAAAAAAATAGCAACCATAAGAGAAAAGACTAACAAGTTTGGGATGGAAATATAGTTCAGTAACATAGCACCTACCTGGCAAGTGCGAGGTTGTGAGTGTGATTGCTGTTACCAAAAAAAAAAAAAGACTAACATTTTCCTCTATAAATATGGGCAGTAGGTTGACAATGTAGCTCAGTGGTAGAGCACTTCCCCAGCCTGTGTGAGGCCCTGGGTTCCACTCCCAGCCCCTGCCTCCTCCCAATTAAATTTCAATTTATGAACGGTAAATACCATAAGCAAAACCAAAAACTAAATAGCTCTGATCACCAACCTAATTTAGAAAAAAAATGCTACGGCTTGGACATTGCTTGCCCCCAGAGGCTCCCTTTGGAGCTTTAATCCCCCAGGAGAGTGGTACTGGGAAATGCTGTGAAACCTTGGGAGGCACAGTAGAGATCCTTAGGTCCCCAAGGACACCGTCTTTAGGAGAGAAAGCTGGTGCCTGGTGTGAGCTCTCCTGAGAGCCTAAGCATAACACCCCTCACCCCAAAAGCACCCCCTCACCCCCTAATCACCCCCAACCCTCCCCCATCTGCCATCTGGCTTCCTGTTTGGGGGTGTGCTTTCTTCCTCCTTTATCACCCCCACCATTGACACACCCAGGAGGTAACAGCCTATCAGAGCCTGCACTGTGCTGTTTGGATTCTCAGCCCCCAAAACTGTGTGCTACCTAAGCCTCTTTCATTTGTAAACTTAGCCCACCTGAATACATCATCATACTAATTCAAATGGACAAATACAAAATTAGTTGCAATCCATCCAACATTCCAGTACTCTGGGAGGCGAGGCAAGATGGGTTGCAAATTCAAGCCCACCTTGACAACTCAGTGGCTTAGTGAGACCCTGCCTCAAAATTAATTAATAAATAATAATAACCATAAAGGCCTGGGGATGTAGCTCAGTGCAAAGGCCTTGAGTTCAATTGTAGTAAAGCAAAAAAAGAAAGACAGACAGAAAGAAAAGGAGAGGAAAAAGAGCAAGGAAAGGAGAAGAGGAGAAAAAGAAAGGAGAAGAAAAAAAGAAAGAAAAAACCAACAATCCAACGATCCAGTTGAAATAGGCAAAGAGGAAACTTCATTCATGTGAAAAAGAATTCACGTGTAAAGTCAAAATTTAAAAGGTGCAAATTAAAATAATGAGAGCGCTACTTTCTAAACTGTATATTGCTAAGTATTTTCAAAGCCGGATAAACCTGGCGTTCACAGGGCGGGTCTTGGGAGCAGTAGTGGCTGAGCGTGGGAATGGGCACCACCTTTAGGGGGCAGCCAAGATCTATGGTAAAATTCAGAAATTCTTCCAGGAGATACCTGGGCTTCTAGAAATTGATCTGAGGGACACACTTGCACACACAGTCAGGCCACGTCCACGCAGATGTTCAGCACACAACCGTGAAACAGCAAAGGCCTGGGGAGGGGGGCGGCTCAATATCCTTCCGTGGGGACTGACTGAATAATTGCAGGGTCCTGTTGTGACCGTGCACCAGCAGCAGTTTCTAAAAAGAACTGTGGAGCCACACACTCCATGCAAGCTGCTGTGAGGCTGTGTCCAAGTCGTAGGAGGGGAGAGGGGATGACTAGGCTTGGGGTGCGGAGGGCATTTAAAAGGAGATGGCCATACACACACTGTTCTGGAAGTAATCATGGGCAAGTGTGTGCTAGCCGTGACTGGGCTAAGCGGAGAGACTTCTGTACCGCTTTATTTTTCTCCCTTGAGCACTATTTTTCCCTTTTAAGGACTAGCTACTACCGTAGCGGAGCGCGCTGGAGCATGCTTTTAATCCTAACAATCTGGAAGGCTGAGGCAGGACAATTATTCCAAGCTCATAAACTTAGCTGGGACAATGTAGCAATACTCTGATTCAAAAAATTTTTTAAAACATTTTAAAGAGCCAGAAAGGTAACTCAGTGTGAAAGCTCTGGGTTCAATCCCCAGTAAGAGGTGGGATGGTAAACAGCTTTTTTTTCCTGTTCGGAAAACGCATCCAGTACCTTGCACACCGTAAGCAAGCATTCTACCACTGAACTTCATCAGCCCATAACGCGTCTTAAATGCACGCTTAAGTAAGTTGAGGCAGGAGGGCTCCATGGCACTGACCCCTGGTATCACAAGGAAGGAAATTACACATCCCACCCGAGCAGTAAGTACGCATGGAAAGTCAAACGCTGGGGGAAAGCAAGGCAGGCGCCAGAGGGGCTGTAAATAAAATTACATATACAGCATCGTGCAGACAGAGGGCGTGCGGGGGCACTGGGCGGCGCTTCCGCCGCGAGCCAGGCCGGGACCCAGGCCAAGGTGGGGGCGCTCCAGGCGCCCCTCGGCCCTGGCTCCGAGCGGCTGCGCCCCGGGCTGCGCGCCCCAGCCCAGCCCCCGCGCATTCCTGAGGCGACAGTGCGACCCAGCGGGCCGCGGGGAAACTGCGCAGGACCGCGGCCAGGGCAGCAGAGACGGGGTCCGAGGTGGGACCGCGGCGCCTTCCTCCTCCGGTAACAGCCAATCTGTTCGCAAAAACGACGTTGCTAAATACCCCGCTTATCTTTCTTACCCCCGCTTCTCCCTCTCCGTAGGTGGCAAAGATGTGCTGGAAAGCTCTGGTTGAGGACCCTGGAGCTTCTAATGCAGACGTTAGACGTGGTATTTATGAAGTCCAAGCAAGCAACTGTCTCCCTCCTACCCCAGTTTACTTAACTGTTTTTATCTCAAGATTGACCCTCCTGATCTAGTAAACTCTGTAGATACTGAGATTCCAAGCAGGCTCAGCCACCTTCTCCCTGACATCGTCCTCTGCCTCAGTGGGCGCGCCCCTCAGCCTGCTGCCATGGCCGTTGTGCCTGCCTCAGCTCTCACCATCTATGCCATGAACTGGTTCCCTCCTAGAGACACCTTCCTCCTCTAGGTTAGCCGGGAAAACCCCTGCATGAGCAGCCACACTTCCTCACTGACCGCCTGTCACTGAAGTGCTGATTGAAAACCAGACTGCCCTGTGTAATGCTGACTTGACCCAGCAGGCCAGTATTTTTCAATGTCCACTGCACCTATGTTCAGAGCCTACTGACGCCATACAACTTGAACATCCGGTAACCCTGAATGTACAGTGACCCCACATTCTGAAGGGGAAAAAAAACTCTCCAAAATAACAAAGTCAGAATTTTGGGAACTTGATGCCAACTTGAAAAGTAAATGTTTAGAATACAGAAAAGAGTCATCGTCAGCATATGGGACTGGATCCATTCGTTTGGTCACATATAAATATTCAAATATGTGGGACAATGCATTTTTGCATTTCCCTATTATTTTTATTGTGTTTGCAGTGCATGATCACTGTATTCACCGTGGGGGACTGGTTCATGTGCATAACACATCCCAATTTCCTTTCATCCGATTCACTTCCCCTCCTTCCCTTCCCCTCCATCTCTTGGTTCCCTTGCCCTTTGCAAAAATACTATCTCCTTGTATCCTATTATCTGCCTAATAGATTAATTTTGAAATATATGTTTTATTCTCACATTGTATGAAGTGATTTTACTTAAACTCTTGCCTTTTGCTTCCTAATTATTCACCCCAAAGAGCACTTCTAAAAGCGCCTAATGCCATCACTTTTATTTATTTACAGTATTTTTCTAATCTATCCATGAGACTATAACCAAATATTTTCCTGAATCATAATCATATAAATGCAGAGTTTTAAACATTGTCCCATAGTTTTAGATTTTTTACCTCTCTGATGTATTCACTAACTGTATTGAGTGTTTCTTTGCGGGGGGAGAGGACCAGGACTTGAACTCAGGACCTTGTGTTTGCCAGGCAGGTGCTTGTGCTGCCGAGCTACAACCCTGGCCCAACTTTATTGCTCTTTGACCACTGCTGATTTACACCAGTGCCCAGTGCTTCCATCAGGAGCTCAGACCCGACCTCCATCAGGAAGGTTTAGGTCTGGTTGTGGGGAACAGGGCCTGGCTTCTGGCTGGCCTTAAAGGAGAGACCTATGTCAGGTAGCACAAAGGTCCCTGAATCACTGAACTGGTGGAGCATTTGGTGTGAGACACACTCAAGGTTAAACTTCCAGGAATAATTCCAGAGTCATGCCGTTCGATTGTTCAGATGTCAGGAAGACACAAGCCAAGTCTGGCCGTGCCCCAAGCTGCCCATGTAAAATGCTGCTACCACACTAGAGCCCGGAAATTGCCGGCTGATACCTCCCCTACATCTGCAAACAAGAGCCAGGGCCTTTTGCAAAGGCGAGGCTTGTGCAAGTGCCTCTGAGTGCTAGAATCTTAATTTTTGTACATCTCAAATTCTCACTGCAGGAAAATCTAGAAAAACATCATTTTCTACTTCTCCAAAAATGGACAGATTTGAAGAACATTTGACCAGATAGTAAGCGACTGTTTGCCTCATAATCCCAAAGATAATTAGTAATTTGTGCTAAATGTCTCTCTCCCCATCTTGTGTTGGTCACCAGTCCCATCTGTGAGAATTTGGGAGTTTTTTGTTTTTTTGACACAGGGTTTCCCTATGCAGTTCAGACTGGCCTTGAACTCATTTTGTAGCTCAGGCTGGTCTTGAACTTGCAACGATCCTCCTGCCTCAGCCTCCTGAGTGCTGAGATTACAGGTGTGCCACCATGCCTGGCTAAGGACTTGTATTTTAAATGCGCCCCCACAAGGCTCAGGGTGGCACTGGGGAAGGTGGTAGACACTTTAGGGGGTGAGGGTGGGGGCTGATGGGAGGAAGTGAGGTCCCTGGGCACATGCTCGTGAGGGGAAGGTCAGGACCAGCCTCCTTCCTGCACTTTCCTCCTGGTCATCTCATAGGTGAGCCACCCTGTCTGCAACATGCTTCCATGGCAGTGGTGTACCACCACAACCCCAGAGCGACAGAGCCAAGCGACATGGCCTGACACCTCTGAAACTGCTATATCCTTCCATTTCTCCTTTTGTACTTAGTAAATCCACCCTCTGCAATGAGACTTGGACCCGTAGGAATCATGGTTGTCCCTATGGTTTTGGCTTCTGGTTGCTTAAACTGATAATTGTACCATGGGTAATGATTTCCAACTGTAATCCCAGCACGTGAGAGGCTGAGGCAGGAGGGATATCATGAGTTCGAGGCTAGCCTGGTCTACTTAGTAAGTTCAAGACCAACTTGAACTACATAGCAAGACCCTGTCTCAAAAAAACAACCAATGAAAACAAATCACAGGTTGCAAAATAGTCATATTCTATTCCTCTCATAGTTCTATTCCTTAAACTGGCTTTCTCAGGTACTCTGTTACAACCATAGAAAGCTCACATACCATCTGATAAGGCTTATCACCAACTAGAATTAGCATCCTCCAAAATGGTTTAGGTCTGACCCCCCAAAAAAACTTACATAATACTTGTTTAAAAGAACATGATTTAGGCATTTGTGGACTGCATGGGGAGAGAACAAGGACTCACCAAGAAGCAAGCCCTCCCTGCAAACCAATGCCATCCATGGGCCACCAGACCGCAGCCTCTTCTGGTGTGCAGGCTGGCAAACAAGAAGAGACAAATCCGCCCCCCATAAGTGACCAACTGATTGAGAAACACAGACAGCAATGATAACTGTTAGGTAAAATGCAATGTGATGCTTGTGATGCTTTGGTGTTCACTGACCTTGCAAATCTAGGGTCTTCTCATCTATTCAGAGGATGGTGGCATGCAGTGTGGCATCTAGGGGGCATCTCCTTCTGAGGGTGATGGCCATTGTTAATTCCCTCTTGTCTTGTTTTGAAGTCCTGTATCATTTTCATTGTTTTTCTGGGTTGGGTTTTGTTGTTTTGCTGTGTTTGATTTTGTTATATCTGATGGCATGAGCAGCTATTTCAAAGACAGCAAGATATATTATGGTAGCCATTTTGGATTTATTGTTGTGTTGTTTTGAAGTCCTTTATTGTATTCATTGTTTTGCTTTTGTTCGTTATATTCTGTTCTGTTCTGTTCTGTTTAATTTTGACTACGTCTGAGGGTATCTGAAGCTATTTTGAGGACAACAAGAGGCACTGCGGTAACTATTGTTGATTTTATCTTGTTTTGAAGTCCTATGTCACTTACAATGGTTTGTTTTGATTGGTTTTATAGTTTTATTTTCCTTGGTTTTATTCTCTTTAAAATAATAAAAAGAAAAGAACTAAAAGAACATTTAAAAATTACCCTGACATATGAGATCATGGAAGCCCTTGAATGTTAGGAGTCTCCATATTTTCTCAAGAGTAAGGCAGAAAAATAAGCTTACCACATGAACTTGGATGTAGTTCAGTGGTACAGTACCTGCCTGGTATGTGGAAGACCATGGATGCAATCCCCACACTGGGGGGAAAAAGAAAAAGAGAGAGAGAGAAAAAAAGCCAGGCATAGTTGCACATACCCATAATCCCAGAACTCAGGAGGCTGAGGCAGAAGCATCATCACAACTTCAAGGCCAGCACAGCCTGAAATCAAGGTGTCAGCAGTCCAGATCCCCCTCCACGGCTGTAAGGGAGGCCTCTTCTGGCCTTCCAGCTTCTGACTGCCAGCAGCATTGCTTGGCTTCCTTCGCTCCTGGCCCATCCCCTGGCCCATCCCCATACTCTTGGCCTCCACTTCTCTTCTAGGGCTGTCCTCTTCTCGCTGCTCTCCTCTCCCCCTGCCGTTCTACACTTGCAGTCGGATTTAGTCTCCACTCAGGTAATATACATGGTGGTTCCATCTCAAGATCCTCACTTTGGCCTGGGATATACCTCAGTGGCACAGCACCTGCCTGACAAGCACAAGGTCCTAACTATTTTTCCAAATAAGGTCCTGTCCACAGGTACTAGGAATTGGAGGTGAATGTACTTTACAGATGATCACCATTCAACCTCATACAGCAAGAATAGGAAATGTTGGCTTAAACAGACGGAACTGGTTTCTTTGAAGGATTTTGGCAAAATCTTTAACTTATTAAATATGTCTTGTGAATCTCCAAGAGTGAAACCACTATGCAGTGATCCCCAAACATATTTTCCCCGGGGGATTCTATTTTCAGAAGTGACATTCCACAGAGTGCTGGCAACTCCGGCATAACCTTGCCAAACACCTGTGCGCTGAACTCTGACCTCCAGAACTTTGAGACCCCCATTTCTGTTATGTTAAGCCATCCAGTTTATGTATAGTTTTGTTACAGTAGCTCTAGAAAAACTAACCTCAAAGAGACTCAGATTTAAATATATATATATATATATATATATATATATATAAAATATATATACATTAAATATATATATATATATATATATATATATATATATATATACTTGGAGTTTTTTCAAACATTCTTATTACTGACTGTGGTCATTCTGTACTGATTCATCTAATTTTGAGATCAGGAAATAGAGTATTTCTGTATCTCAAGGAAAAAAATGCAACCAAAATTTGCTGTAAGTTGATTTTATTTTAATGTGAATTGCGCCCAGTATTAATGCCCTAGCAGCTGGGCCATGACTTACAAACATTATTCATCTAGGGATCCTTTGATGAAATCCTGCTCCAAGTCTGGAGGAGAAAAAAGTTTCAAGAAAGTCTGAGACATTTTTCTAAGTCAGAAAGCAAAGATATGCTCAAAGGCCATCCACGACATCTTAGGTTTATAGAAGCCAGCTTGAACAGATATAGGCTCTGGCACCCAAATTCAGAACAATGGGAGAGCAAATAGGATAATAGGATAATGATAGTGGATTATAACATAAAGAACCCTCTGAAAAAAGAATTTGTGGTCCATGGTGATACTCCAAAGAGATAAAGAGAAATACAGATTTTTAAAAAGAGAAATATCAACTAAAAAATGCAGAAGGTAGCCAGGCCTGGTGGCACATACCTGTAATCTGAGCACTTGGGAGGCTGAGGCAGGAGGATGAGAAGGTGTAGTAGGATTAGAAAATGACCACTTTGCAAACGTGATATAATTATCAATTCAAGCATCAGATGGCAAAACTATAGTGAAAACTGTACATTCCCATGGGCCTAAAGCAGAAAGAATTTGCTGACAATAAAGGAAGAGGGCAGGACCCAGCAGGCTTTTCAACTAAGTGGTCACATTTAGTAGCATAGTTTATATAAGCCTCTTGGTGTCATTTAAATGACAATGATACACACAATCTCATATGTGGTATGTTTGCCTCTCAAAAGTTTGTTTTATATAATGAGAAAATAATCACACATATGCAAAATATGGTCCATTTTATAAAACAACTGATGTAATCTCTTCAAAAATGTCAGTCCTTTTTTTTTGTTTGTTTAAACAGGGTCTTGTCCTGTAGCTCAGGTTGGCCTTAAACTTACTATGTAGGCCTGGCTGGCCTTGAACTCATGGAGGTCCTCCTGTCTGTCTCCCAAATGCTGGGATTACAGCCTTGCACCACCACACTCAGCTATATAAAAATATAAATAAATAAAAGCAAGTCTTTAAATAAAAACAATAATAAAGTAAAAAGGACTTGGGATGTAGTTCAATGCAAAGCATCTAGG